GGGGAAGGAAGGAGAGAAGGAAGGGGGAAGGAAGGAGAGAAGGAGAGAAGAAAGGAGGAGACATTTCCTGACAGTTAGAACAATTAATCAGTGGAACAGCTTGCCTCCAGAAGTTGTGAATGCCCCAACACTAGAAGTCTTTAAGATGATGTTGGATAGCCATTTGTCTGAAACAGTATAGGGTTTCCTGCCTAGGCAGGGGTTTGGACTAGAAGACCTCCAAGGTCCCTTCCAACTCTGCTATTGTATTGTATCTTGAGCGTACCCACCACTACTTCTTTACCCTTCCCATCCCCCCAGTGGAGGATGTGGTAGAAGTCCTATCCCAATGCCTAGAGACTGTCAGATTCTTAATGTGAAAAACAGTTTCAGATGCAACTCAAGCAAGATGAATAACTATCAGTTCAAAAGTATTTTTATTCTAGGGCTGATTCTTGATGTGGGTAACCATTATGCTTCTCAAGAGGAAGCAGTTTCATAGTCTGGGGGTTCTTTTGGATTCATAGTTCCTGTCTAAAGAGCAGATGGATGCTATAACCACAAAGGGTTATGTTAAGCTTCAGCTATTACAGTAGGGGAAGCCTTATGTAGAACAGATTTCTTTGAAGATGGGCCATTCATGCTCTTGTCATCTCCCTATTGGATTACTTAAATTCACTGTACAGAGGGATACCTTTGAAGATCAAGAAGAAATTTGAGCTGGTATAGAGTGCAGTGTTCTGCATGTTCATTGGCCAATCTGAGTACTGGCATTTTACACTGTTACTACAGGATATGTGTTGCTAACCAGGGTATTCCTGAATGCAAGTTAAGATTCCGATTGCTACTGACTCCTTCCCCATGGTGCTTGCTGAACAGAGGGGGATTTTTTCTCTCCCACTGATGAACAGTTGATTTTGCCACCAAAGCTGGTTGTTTAGTGGCCTTGCTCCCCATTTTTTGAAGGGGAAACTAGAAAGGACCCAAGACAACATTCACACGATCACGTACCAATAGAAAAGAAGGGGTCTAGATGCCCTCTATTCTCAATAAGGAGTGATCAGAAGGTCTAATCTCTTGTCACCTTTTCCCTTCAGCTGCCCATTTTTGCCTAAATATGCCTGGGACTTAATTGCACTTTTTGAAGCTTTTAAAATCTCTTCATTTATGACTAGTTGACTTCTGATCTATTTTATAACCCTTTGCTGGACATTTACAACTTTTTTTCCTGATCTTTTGCTATTTACGATTAAATTCTAAGCTATGTTTTTTTAGCTGTAAGGAAGTTTGCAGTGGGATTTATATTTACACAGGATTGCATTATAAATTTTGCTTGTTCTAACTTTTTCCTTCTTTTAAAAAAAAGAACCTTAATACTTATCTCTTAATTTTTGATGGGGAAATTCCCCCTTTTTAAACCCTGGATGGGGGAGCCTTTCCTTGTAGAAGCTGTTACAATTTAGGTGTTCCTCTTGTGCTTGAAGAGAGAACAAATGTTTCTCATGCCTCTAAAAGGAGATGTTTTGGGAAACATCTGAAAACAGAATGCTCTCCAACTTACAGGTTTTGTTTGAAAATATAAATAATAAATTTAATGGGTCAATAATGGTTTTTTTAACTCAATATGACATCCAAAAGCAGGAAATAACCTTGCAATTTGAAGAAATGGAACCTGATATTTGCTGTCAGATGCAAAGAGAAAATGTTTGATTGAAAGGAGAATGAATGTAGGAAATTCTGAGCTAATGGAATGAAGGATAGACTGGACGTTCTTGTCAAGAGGAATGTAGTGTTGTCAAGGAAAATAAGTCAACACCAGATATTGCAGGGAGATATCTACATCAAAGACTTATGAAGTTTGGAAATGAGATGCAATTGTTGGGAAAGTTTCCAATTAAAAACATAAAGAAAGGTTTCATTATTAAGAACCAAATAAGGGTATTCTACCCTGGACTCAAGAGATAATGATGGGGTGATTTGTGGCAAATAAGAAACTGCTGTAGACTTTCCAAGAGATAAATGCAATAACAGATTTTTAACAGATTACTTTGAACTTAAACTTTGCTGTTGTTTAACATGTTAACTATTTTTCCTTTCATATATACGTGTATATATAATGTGTGCCAGGTGAGTTGAGTTGCAAATAAATGTACAAGCTTATACATTTTGGATCTAGTTTGTAAGGAGGGAAACTATTATTGTGGCTATAGATGTTCAACTGGGATAGATAATATGTGTTTTTATCCTTTGTTTCTTTTCAATTCACATTTTTAATGTTTTTGTTTAGTTTTACTTTGTCTCTGTTTAATTTTTTTTTCTGTTTGGTTTTTTATTTTAATTTTTTGAGTAAAATAAAATGGTTGGGAAAAAAGATTCTGGTTACTACTTTTAAAGTTGTATATGGCTAAAGCTTAGGTATCTAAAGGACTGCCTTTCCAAAATAGTCTATGTGCATTTTCTTCATAATTTCCTAGAAGCTAATACATCTTGATTTTTCCAGGAAACATTTGGGAAGTGAAAGTAGTTATAGGCCCTTTATATCTATATTTTGTTATATTATAACATAATATTAAGTATTATGGTTTTATTACTAAAATTTAAAAACAGAATTTTACTGCAGCTGGTCTTTGGGTCTCTGCTGTACATGTACGGGGGCATGCGGGGGGCACATATGCGTGGGGAGCAGGCCACATGCAGGGAGCATGCATGCATTGTATTTTGGGGATTTGGGTGACACACTTTGGGCATTCGGTCCAGAAAAGGTTAGCCATCACTGGTCTAGGATCTCCTGCTTGAGCAAGGGGCTGGACTAGAAGAGCTCCAAGGTCCCTTCCAGCCCTATTCTGATTCTGATAATGAAGGCTTCCCATTGCAGTCATAAGTTGTGGAGTTGTTAAGTGGTCACCTTGCTAAATGATCATAATCCTTGCTTTCCACGTTATAGTCATTAAGTGCCAGTGTAGGTTATTAAGCAAAGCATGGGGTGTCTCAGGCATAAGGGATCCTCAACCTCCCTTATTGCTGAGACACTGAAAACTTTTCTTAATAACCCACACTGTCACTTAATGATTATAACATGGAAAGCAAGGATTGTGGTCATTTAGCAAGTGCCAAATATAAAAAGCTTAACAACTTAATACAAACAATAGCAAAATATGAACAAAATAATAAACATTTTTTTTAAATTCTCTAAAAGAACTTCAGTAGGATTATAAAAGGCAGTATATTTTTCATCTTCCACATTTATAAATTATGTTCTAAATACTCTCTGATAGTTTCTAAACACAGATGGTATGAACCTTATCTTGAACAACATTTCTTCCTATTTCAGACATCTTTCTGTACTATTTTTTATTACCTCCTTTCAATGTCTGCATTATGATTTGGTTTTCATCATTCTTTCAACCACATTCCCCTGGTCTAGTGTCATTCTATGGAGTCACCTGGGTAGGGCAATCATAATCAGAATGAAGCAAGAAATGTAGACTCATTTCTTGGGTGTAACGTTGCTGCCCGGAAGAGGTTAAATATAGCAGCTAGTGACTTGTATTCCCTTTCTTCTATCAGTTGTTAACCCATAATAAATATACATAACACATATTTTAACAAGTACAAACATGTTTTAAAGCTTTTTTTTTTAAATTAAACCTTCATCTTCTTTTGTTTACAGGTGGCTGTAAGAATCCACGTGAGACCAGATTTAGCGTAGTGGTTGAATTTCTTCGTTTCTACCCCGTGGGAACAGTTGTGCACCATGTTTGCCATCGAAGCGCTATCCACATTCCTGGTCGTCCAGAAAGGCCTGCTATTACTTGCTTGTCAAATTATACCTGGTCATCAGTCCCAGTTTTTTGTAAAGGTCAGGATCTTCCATTAAAACTACCTTCAAAACTGCATTGAATAAATTGCTAATTCATTTGGTAATGATTTCATAAAGGTATGATCCTACAAAGGTCAACTGATGTGTGCAATTAATCAATAATATTTATAATGGTGCTGAATTATACTTCTGAGGATCTTAAAAAACTAATAGATACACTACGTTTTTAGTTTGGTTGATATCAAATACAATTTTATTGGCATATTATTTTTTATTATTTTATTATTTTTGAGGGACTGCTTATTGATTGCTGTGAACTATTATAGCACATATTTTCACCTCATGGAATACAGGGGGATATTGACTAATTTTTGATACTTCTTTTATGAAATATTTATTCAAATTTATTACTTTATTTCTGCCAGAAACCTGAGCACTACAAGAGGTGAGGGTTGATGGCTATGATTCAGGCTTGAAAAATGGCTTCCATAGTGAGAAAGGGGAATCAAGGCATGATCTAGGGTGGTTGATTATATTCATCTTCAAGCACAAGTAATTCTTTTCTTATAGGGTGCTAGTGACACTTACACAATGTAAACCCTTTAGTTTGATACTCATTGATTTATAATCTCTATTATTATCATTATTGTATGTCTGCATTTATAGTTCAAATTAGTCCTACTGCCTAATATTATCTTCCTCTTGATACGTAATTTAAATGCAAGAATGATGATCAATATTTTTATTTATTTACTTTATTATTTCATAATAATAAAGTAATTAATATAGCTGCTCATTTATATGACTGAGTGGCTAACAAACAAAGAACATGAAACACTTTTTATTCAGAAACCCCACAACATTTTAAACTAATTTTTCTACTGTATGTTCACGTCAATTTTTTTCATTTCTGGAACATAATTATTTGTACAAATGTTCCAGTAAATCATTTTGTGTTACGATATCATTTATAATCAATTTGTACATTGTTCTTGCATGAAGTGAATATCTACTGTTTCTTCTGACTCTGTGCACAATAGGCACTTTAAATCATTTCTAACCTTTATTACATTTTATGAAGATATGTACAACAATTTCATTTCACTTCTTTTACTGTCCTTGCTGGATGTCCAGAAGATTTTTATGTTTCTTCATTTTTATCAGATAAATACTGTTATTTATTTGCATAATATCCATTATCTGTCTACTAAGTAAAGAAACACATTAATAACAATAATAACAATAACACTTAGAGCACTGATAGACCAGTGATACTGGTACCACTTCACAATGCTTTGCAGTCCTCTCTAAGTGGTTTTACAGAGTAAGCATATTGCCCCCAACAATCTTGGTCCGCATTTTATTGACCTCGGAAGGATGGAAGGCTGAGTCAACCTTGAGTTGGTGAGAATCAAATTGCCAAACTGCAGACAGACAACAGACAGCAGAAGTAGCCTGCAGTTCTGCATTCTAACCACTGCACCACCATAAAGTCTCCCTTTATTTATTTATCAGCACAAATACAACACACACACACACACACATATATATATATAATCAGATTCAGCTAGAATACATTTTGAAACTGAAATTGATAATTTTATTCATTGATATCTGTGTTGCTGGTCAGGGACTATAACAAAGTTATCTTCTATCTAATGCTAAGCATTTTTCAGGACATTAATTTTTGTTGATTACAATATATAAATTAGCTTGTCTTTCCACTATGACTGTTCTCCCAAGAAAATCTATAAGGTTTCTTTATGACTGATTGAAATTATCTCCTTTTGGTGTGTGTTTGTGTGTGTGTGTATACACACACACACACACACACATATACATATATACATACAGAAACATAGAATCGTAATTCTCAATATTTGTTTTCTATTACCTAGGACTACCATGCGGTGATCCAGGGAAACCAGAAAATGGTGACCGTATTATGCTAATGGATTTCCTGCTAAAAGCAAAAGTAAATTTCAGCTGTAATGAAGGGTGCGTGTTAAATTGGCTGCCTTAGCAAAGTCTAATTATACTATTAGTCCTTTATTTTAGACAATAATTGAGACTGGAATTTTTGTTGCTAAATGATGCACTTGTAAAGCAGCAAGACTCAGATAAAGGGTGCATGAATGGCAAGACAGATGTAGCAAGGCTCGGGGGGGGGCATGCAGAGGTTGCAAGCGGTCAGCGTGGTATGAGCACAGTAAATAGTAAATTAATGATGAATTTTTAAAAAATGAATGTTGCACTTTTTCATGATGTGTTTTCTCAAGTTTTCTTTGCTGTGAATAATTTTTATAGTGGAGTTGGACTTTTTTTACCACTTATGAAATGACTAGATTTCTTTTTAACAATGTAAGCAAATATGAAAAAGAAAAGGAAGGAATATAATAAATTATTTTTTTTAGTATATAAATGTAGATATATAGATATACATCAACATGAACAGTGTGGCATCTGGGTGTCATTCATTTTGATATAAATAATAATTATATTAATATTTGTTATATTAGTCAAACTTTTGTAATCTTAGTGTTGATACACATATTTGTATTAAGATATAGTCATTAATTAATTGTTCAGTGTTTCAGTATACCATTCTAATGCCAATCACAGTATTAGTTGAACAGACATAGTAATACCATCTTTCAACCTCTAATCTTTCCATCTGATTATTGCTATTATTCTATTATATAAAAATGTGTATACTAATATCCCCCTATTTCTTGTTTCTAAGACATTTCCTTTCTATCTATCATCTCTTGCCCATTTTAATAATTCAATTCTTATTCATTTTTTTGCTTGCTTCCCATGCTCCTCTCTTGGATCTTTATCTAGTCTAAATATTTCTCCCATCTTTCCCATCTTATGCAGCCAGGCCTCCAGTGTATCTAACCAAGCCCCTATCTCCCTTTCAAAGGTATCTTCCTGCTTATCTAATTTCACTTTTAATCTCTTAAAATATTTTCCTTGATTTATTTCATCACTCATTATTATCTTTATTGTCCTTTTCCTCTTATCTTCTTGCTTTATTTGCTGATTTGTCTGTTCTATCTTTTCTTCCATTCTTTCTGGATTTTTTTCCTGGACATTTTGATCTTTGTTCATTGTTCCTTGTGAAGTATTTTCTATTTTCCCATCTATACCATGTATAGGTTCCCTATCTCATTGTGGTATTTTGTCATAGTATCATTAATATTTTGGAATATCGCAATTTCTTGTAAAATTCTACTCATTTCCCCTGAAGGAGCATCTCATCTTATTTTAGTCTCACTCTTGCTCAATAGTCCAAAAACCATATATTCACTCCTAACATTGCTTCTCAGAGAGTACAATAATCATAGTTCTTTATATCCCAGGATTTATCAGTCAGTTCTTTTAGGTAGTTCAGGATCCGTGTTCTCACAATTAAACCTTCAGTAGTCATAAGGTAGATTAATATAGAACAGTAGATATCACCACAGTCCTCCAGATAAATGTTGTTTATTTATCAAAATTTTCCAAGACTTGTAGGGGTATGGTACATTTTTTATTCATTAGTAGGTGGGTGCCCTCTGCTTAGATTTCAGTGTCTCCAATCTGACAGGTATTTTAACCAATTTTAATTTGATTTATAGAAGCCAAATCAGTTATTTAAGTAGATAGTTCCAGAATTTTAAAATGCCTTTCCCAAACCTACCCAGTTTAAAAATCCAATTTTCTGTGTTTTAAAAGTTTTTTAATTTTCTCCCATTAGTTCCCTCCTTCTCGGTCTGGGATTTTTCTCTAAGTAGTTATTTATTGCTTTAACAAATAAATCTAAAAATCTCTTTTCCCAGATTTTTTTCCCTTTTTGGGTTAGGTTCTAAGTAAAAAAGGAATAATCTCACCCAGTTCCAATCACTGTTCATCTACACCACTCCTGCATTTTCTTTGTTGCCTTGGCTGTCCCAGTTTCATGGCAGCCATAATGGCAGCCTCTTATCCTCATCGTGAACAAGAGGGAAAAAGAAAGCCTGGGTCAAACAGGAGAGTTGCAGCTCTCCACAACCTGCAGGACGCCCCTTTTTCTTCACCACCCCTACAGGGTGGCTTTGCCTCCTTTTGGAGCTCTCTAACAGTGAGAATTTAGGAGCACGGAGACCGCTCCTCACGTCCGATCTTGCCACAACATCAGCTGGCAGTCAGAATAGAATAGAATTTTATTGGCCAAGTATGATTGGACATACAAGGAATTTTTCTTTGGTGCATAAGCTCTCAGTGTACATAAAAGATAAAAGTGATCATGATCATAGTCATCATAAATACATTCATAATGAATCATAAGATACAACACTTAGTCATAGTCATAGGATACTAAATAAGCAATTGAAATAATAGGAAGCTAAATAAAACAATATAATCGTAGATACAAGCAACAAGATTATAGTTGTAAGTAGAAAAGGAGATAGGTAATAGGAAGGATGAGAAGAATAATAGTAATACAGTCTGACAGTGTTGTGGGAATTAGTTGTTTAGCAGAGTGATGGCATGTGGGGAAAAACTGACTTGTATCTAGTTGTTCTGGTGTGCAATGCTCTATAATCATTTTGAGGGTAGAAATTGAAACAATTTATGTCCAGGATGGGAAGGAAGGAAGGAAGGAAGGAAGGAAGGAAGGAAGGAAGGAAGGAAGGAAG